TCTGAGCTCCAGTTTTGGCCTACAACAGGGCCTCATTTACCAAGTGGGGAGGGGGCGGGTGGAATCGGCTTTGGTTCCAACTCTCTATCCCTGTCCAGAGATTCCCACCTTGATGGAAAATCTATGTGTATTGACATCAGTTGAGCACAGGTTCAGACTCATTTTCTGAGCCAGCGGTCGAATAGCTTGCCAACATTTAGTCAAAGTTCATATAAATAAATAAAAGAATGGGGTGAGGTACGAGGAGCCTTGGAGCCCACTAAAAGGAAAAGGCATAAGGAAACAGCCACTTGACAATCTTGAGACAAACTCTTGCCTAAATTAACCCATTTTCTGCTGGCGTGTCTCGTTTACAGTGCCAGATGTGATTGGGACAATACAAAGCAGCAAAACAATATTGATTTGTTAGCACTAATGCAGGGCCCAAGGCTAAAATACTTCAAGACAATGCGCTCCAATATTCTTATTCATCTAAAAATAAAACGGTTACAACGGATGACGCGCTGAGTTGAGCTGGCAAGCCTTGGGGATAGAAGAGGCCTGGAAGCAGACCCCTGTGGCCGTGTCTGGTCTGCAGGCTTCAAGCCAGACATTCCAGCGCAGTTCAGGAGTAGCATGTTGCATTGTCGGAGGTGCTGTCCTTCCAATGAGATGTTAAATCGAGGCACAGTCTACGCCTGGTCAGGTGGACATCAAAGATCCTTCGACTAAGAAAAGATTTGCTCCCAGTATTCTGACCAGCAGCGCTACCGATTGGACATTCACCTCGTGGCTGTTTTCCCCTTGTTGCATGTAAACTCCCTGCCGAGTTTGCCTTCAAAAAAAGTCACCACCTACTTGACAGGAATGAGCTGAAACATGATGGCACCCAACAATATCATTTCCCTCTTAGCACAGGGACAGCTTGTGCTCAGGACAGAGGAAGATAAATTTATAGAGAAACATTCTCAGCCTGGAGGCATGGCAGATTGCCGATGATCTTTCCCCCGAACTAAATTTTACTCCATGCAATGTAGGTGGCTGGGAGATATATATATATATATATAATTTTTTTAAACAGACAAGACACACAGTGTTGATAAATTGTGAAACTACAATTTCTGTAATGTACGTAGAACCCTTGTGACAGCTAGCTGGAACTGAATGCATGGAGAATAGATCGTGTTATCTGAACCCCAAAGGTCAGATCACTGTCCTATAATCACTCAACTCCTAATATTATCTTCTAATAGCAAAAACTATGAAGTTCGGCAATCATTTTATGCCGTCTTGTACCTCTCACACGCAGATAGCGAACACTCCAGGGCATTTTATTCTCCAATAGAGGGCAGATTATCATCCTCTCGTTCCAATGTGACCACACCTGGCAGAACAGTTCTTACAACTACAAAGAAACACTGCGAGTTTTAAAAAATAATCAGCGTTACTTTGCCTCCATTAAACTCGTGTCTTTCACTGTATGCTAATCTCTATGTTCCTGGTCAATGAGTGAGTCTTCTCAGTTGTAATGGGCTAATCACTAATAATTCTAACACTACAGTGTGTTTCCTTCAAAACTATTGTGCAGGACTTTCAATAAGAGATTTTGTAACTAGCACACTAAGCACTGAGGTACTGAATGGATAGAGGCACAATCCCACCAACTCACCACATGACAAGTTACTTATCTCAGCCCATTCCACTGGAGGTGAAAGGGGAAGGAAGGCAAGCAATGAAGTGTTAGATGCGTCCACACAGAAAGGGGAGGAAGCGGATTATACGCCCTGTAGAAACACCATGAAGAACACGAGCACTACAAAGACTGTAAACTACAAAGTAAAAAAAAATTACAAAGTAATTTTTTACAAAGTAAAAAAAAATTGATGAGGAACATGCTCTGTGTACCAAACATAATAGAAATATGGTCTTATTTACAATTACTATTAAAACACCTTCAGCTGCAGTGTCAGCGACCGTGAAAGCTACATTTTCCACACATTTTGAGAAGTAATGTGTAGCAAACACTCAATATGCAAATTCAAAACACGTCCAACAAAATAAACAAAAGAGTATCAACAATTAAAGAAAATAAATTAACTGGGCAGAGCTCGCTTCCACTGCTTAGCAATATTTTCTTCTCCCAATTCAGCACGAGTTAAACAAACCGACAATCACTGAATGAAATGTCTGAACCACAACAATGTTATAGAATATTCCATAAATTATTAAAACCTGATTTCCTGCAGAACATGAACTCAGTTTCTTGGGAATGACCTACAATGCTTTTATACAGACCACACACGCATTCACCTTCTGCATACCAACTATCAAAATATAAGGCAGGGGCACATCAGAACAGCACCTCACCCTCGCTTACTCGTCTGGCACTGAGCCTCGGGCAAGCACTGAATAATACTATATTGTCAAGTAACCTTGCTTGCAAGTAGGGACGCACCACTGTACCATGTAGATTGTGTGCTGTTTCAGCACCCTACCTTCAAAAGGTCAATGATGGTTCTCAGATGCTGAGTTTGGCCCACAAATTACACAGACAGTCTACTTTATAATATGTTCTGTGAAGCGCTTTGAGACGTCTCAACGATGTGATAAGGCACTATATCAAATGCAACGATTAATATTAAAGATAATTCCAGGCCGTAAGGCTCTAAATAGTGAAGAAAGGTTTAAATAGCTGAACATATTTTCACTGGAGAATAAAAAAGATGGGAGGGGGAGTATGGGAGAACATAATCAAAATGCTGAGAGGCATAGTGATATAGATATAAACAGATTAATCTCAATAAATGAACACAGGGGGACATAGGCTTTAAATCAGCAAAGCAAATCAGAGATTAGAAGGAATTTAATCCTTCTATTACCCCATCCACTGCAATGCATATGTGGAACAGACTACCGAGAAAAGTAGTCGATGCTCTGTTAATTTATGCCTTCAAAAGCAAAATGAATAAGTGTCTGTCTGGAAATAGTCCTGGAGTTTATAGGGAAAGATATAAACAAAGAGGCACAAATGCTCCACCGGACACTGACAGGGCCAAAAGGGAAGAGTCGGTGTTGTCCAGCCTGTATAGGGAAGCTGGCCAGGTTTCAAAAGATGAGGCCTGAATTTCTGCAGTTTTTGCTCAGGCAATATCAGCGAATATCTATGCACAACTCTTCCCTCTCTCCCCCCATCCCTCCCAGAACTGGTGCACAATGATAAGGTTTTAATCACCTGAATAACTATCCCAGTAGTGATTGTCCTGTTCCCTCTATTCCTTAATCTGCTGTTGAAATGAGGTTTTATATTTTTCGTCCAGATCCATCCACACAAGTGTTCAATCACAGTAAAACATCACACAACTTCAAACAGAAGCCTTAAACGACAACTGAAGCAAACTTGATAAATCCAGTCCTTTGTATGAACCATTGTAAATCATATGAACCTCAGGACTACAGTATTACTGACCGCTTCCATAGCACTGTCACAAAGCTCTAGAAATGAGCACTGCTTCTAAACAATGCTACAACAATAACTACAGTATACACAGGAATACTGTTTTACTGCTGATATGAAAATTACACATTAACACTGTCTACCCTATAATTGGCAAACCGATTTTTATATTGAAACCATCTGTTTTATGCATTATTTTCAAACAAATACATGTATCTCCAGATCATTGCAATCCCCCACACCCCTTCTTTGCTGCATCAAAACAATCTGTTACAGGTGCACAGGTGCTCTGTTGCTGCACTGACAGTGTTGGGTCACCAAATGAATATTGGCTCCTGTTTCATCTGGAATAATATGATTATATTAATGTTTCATACATTTTCCATCGAGGAGACATGCAAAGATGAACTGCTTTGCTGCAGAATACAGGCGCTGACGATGTGTTTGTTTCCAGCCACCCCCGGCCCGCACTTACGGCCCCTGTCTTCCACCCCCTCAAAACCCAAACTCCCCCTCTTTGCAACCTCCCTGGGCTATCAACCAATTACCCCCCACCCACCCCCCCTGCGGAATATACCTTCGCATCACCAAGTGCATCTCTTTTTCACATAATCAAAGCATCTCCTTGCTCTGCTCCTCTTGGCATTGCCCCCCATCCTCCCCCATTTTCCCTGAAGAGCTGATGTGTTTTTTTTCGCTCCCTGCTGATGTTCTGCTGCTCTGTAAGTGGGTCGGTGTCCCACCACACACACACACCACCCCCACCCCCCTCCAATATCCGTCTAGCCAGGGTGGGTTCTGCTACCAACCTCTTCCTGAGACAGTTGGGGTTGGGGGTAGAGGGGGCTCTAACCTTCTCTCCCCGAGGGTCAGGTGCAGTTATCCTCCCACGTCTCTCTCTCTCTCTCTCCAACCCACCACGGGCCACTATTCCCTTCCCCAAGGGTGGGGGGGTCACTAGCATCCCCCTCCCCCAGAGTCACTGCCACCTTCCCCACCCCCTGGGGTCACTGCCATGCCCCCTACCCCCAGGTGTAACCAGCCTTCTCCTTCCCCCAGGAATCATTGACACCACCCCTACGCCTACCCCAGAGGGTCCCCTCTCTCGCCATCCCTGCCCCCGCAGGAGAGTGTTGGGGGGGGGGGGGGGGGGTACACGAACATTCCCCCCCCCCCCCCAGGGGATCATTGCCACCCCCGGAGAGTCGCTGCCTCTCCCTCCCTCCCTCACGGGATCAGTGGCCTCCCCTCTCCCAGGGGTCGCTGCTATTGCCTCTACCCCCCCCCCCCCCAAAGGGAGGAGGAGGAGGAGTGAGTGGGTGAGGGGTGGGGGGGGGGTCACAAACACCCCCCGCGCTCTCCTCTCTCCCCCCCCCCCCACACCCCCCAGCCCCCCCCCCACAGCCCCCGCGCGCTCCCGCTGAGGTAAACGGAGGGCGCCACCACCGGCGCGTGTTTTGTTTGTTCGGCAAAAGCTGTGGCGGCAAAAGCCGTGACACACACACACACACAGAGAGAGAGAGAGAGAGGGAGAGAGAGAGGGAGAGGGAGGGAGAGAGGGACTGACCCTGGCGGCGCGGGTGATGCTCAGGTCCTTCATCACCTCCTCGAAGGCCGCCGTCTCCTCCGCCTGCTTCTGGTTGTGGAGCGCGATCTTCTCGCTGAATTTCCGCGGATTGTTCGACGCCGCCATTTTCCTGCACTACACACCTCCTTCACCCTACGTCAGCACGCACGCACGCGCGCGCTCGCGCACACGCACACGCTCGCACGTCCCGCTTGCCCCGCCTCCCTCCCTCCGCCCGCCCCGCCCCCCCCCCCACGCACGCACGCACGCCACGCACTGCACGCACAGGCACGTGACTCACGCACAGCCCCGCCCCCCCCCCCCTCTCTCCATCCCCATCCCAAGTGTCATCATTCTCTGTGCATTGAGGTTCATCATAATAATAATAATATTAATAATAATCATTGCATTTGACCTCTCTGACCCCGCTTTGCCCCCCACGTCCACCACCTGCTGCCTCCGCTCGACCGCCTCCGACCTCCCGCGTTGACCCTCGTGACCCCCGTTGCACCCACTGCGCCCCCAAACTCTGGATCACTCTTCCCCAATCCCTCCGCCTCGGCCCTCTTCCCTCCCTCCCTCCCTCCCTCCCTCCCTCCCTCCCTCCCTCCCTCCCCCCTCCCCCCTCCTTCCCTCCCTCCCTCCCTCCCTCCCTCCCTCCCCATCTTCAGGTCGCGCCTGAAGACCTTCCTCTTCGACCGGTGCCTATGGTCTTCTTGCCACAACCCCCACCCCGCCCCACCCACCACCTTGAATCGGGGTCGCGCTCCCCACACTGTCAAGCGCTCTGGGACCCCAACCGGCGTGAGAGACGCTATATACATGCAAGTTGTTGTTGCAGCAGCGCCTTATCACGTGGTTGAGACGTCTCAAAGCGCTTCACAGGATGTACTGTGAAGTTTAGTGATTGTGTCTTGTGGGCGAAACGCGAATGGCTCGATGTTTTGATGGGAAGACAGGCATCCTGGAAATACAAAATAATGTGGGCAGTAGCGTCTCCTTTACCCCAACGCTACCTCATTGATGATCAATTGATCGCATGTGATGCTGTAAGAGAAACCTCCAGAGCATAACTCAATACAGTGTGTGTGTGTGGGGAGTCGAGTGTAAAGACCGAAGCGTGAGGATGTATGTATAACGCAGCCCATGTGGTCGAAAAAAAAGTGTCAATGTCTTTAAGAGAAAACATGAGTGAGAAGGGAATAGAGAGGTGTAGGAGTGAAGGCATGGACTAGTTGGGCCAATTGGGCTGTGTGTGCCAAATCATTTGCCATCAAAGACTGTAGAGGTATCAGTTTGTTTTTGTGTCTGCCCCTTCTTGCACCAAAGCTTTCACGTATGATTTTTATTATCCAGATTTACACTGAACTTCATTTCCTACGACGCATACACAGAAAAAAAAACATTTTAAGATATTTATTTTAGACATCATCCCCGTCAAATTTGCGTTGAAAAAAAACATCACAGAGTTCAGAAATAGGTTTCATTATTTATAAGACAACACCCACTCCAGTACATGCAGCTGTCAATGAGAACGTGTCCCAAACCAACGGGGTCTCGTCAGTTCAGGGGGTGGAATAAGGTAATGTATGTACCTAAGGTCTCCCAGTCCCCTCTCCCTCAGTGAGATAGATGTGTATGTGCTGGCTGTAATCTTTTAATTCCTTCCTCCTTACTGGGTTTTATGTTCGTGAACAAGGGTAGAGCTGGTTTGTGAATGGTAGGGGGAAGGGAGAGGGAGTGCGGGAATAAGGAGAAACATCTGTGAAGAACTCTAGTGACTGCAGTTTTAAGATCGTCTCAGAGTCTTGACCTCTATGGGGCAGAGGATATTTGAAGGAGACTTGTCCGGCAGTACTATACATTGGACCTTGAAAATGGAAGGTAAACATGTCACCAAAATACACACAACCATAGATCCCAGAAATGGTGTGTGTGAGTGTGTGTTGGGAGGGGAGACTTGTTAAAAACTGTATTTAATGTCTTTATGAAATTGGAAGATTAGGATTTCACTTTACCTACTGAGGTTTCAAAAGAAACACAATTTTTTTTACCCCCCCGTGATACAAGATTATGCATAACTTACCTCTATAAATATTATACAATCATCGTATTATTTACAGTCTTTAAGACTCTATTGCACATTTCAGAAGTTATTTTACAACTCCCATCTCCCTCTGAAAGAACATTTCAATAGTGGTGTCGCACTCCCAGGCTCCATTTCGAAGTTCATTAAGAACCTCCTACTCTGCTGGTCACTCTGGATGTGCGTTCAGTAGTAACAAGATGTTAGGTTCCCAAATTGGCCTGCAAGTTAATGACCCCCCCCCCCCCCCCCACCCGCCCCTTCCCACAGATCCTCCACAAGTTTTGGAATTCCAAAAGAATTCCCAGCCGTTCCTTGGTCTGTAAACTTCTCTTTATGACTCAAGTGCAGTCGGTCAACTGCAAACTTGACAGAGTCCCTTGTGTCCGACTGATCACTCACCACTTGCACCATTAAAACAATAGATAACATGAAGGCTTCTCTCCGTTATACAGGGGGAATAATGTCTCAAAACACAGAATAATACAGGCTTGGGTGCGTAACATTCCAGGATAAAGCACAAACTGGTGTTAGACACAGAATAACATGCAGGCTGGAGTGTATTACAAACATGATAACAAACAGGCTAGAGTGTATTGTACACAGGATAAGGCTCAGGCAAGAAGGAATATATTACACAGAGTACTGCACAGGGTCAGAAACAGGCCACGATGCACTTCATGCAAAGATATGCAGCTCTCTCGCTATTTTTCCTTCCATTGTTTCTAGTGTTATGCCACAACTCCCAGCTTGATACTGTGGGACATGATTAGTCAACACATGGGGATTTATTTAGAATAAAAGTTAAAATAAAATAATAATAATTTGGTCACTCATTCCACAACTGTTTGTGAGACACTGCTGTGTGCAATTAGCTTCTGTGTTTTGCCCACAAAATATAGTCATTTCACTTTACAGGATATTCTGTGAAGCGCTTTGAGAAGTCTCGAAGACATGATAAGGCGCTGTATCCAATGCAAGTATTATTATTATTATTTCAGCAATTAGTGCAAGGGGAATATTCACTTTACAATATAATCTGTGAACCACTTTGAGACATCTCGAAGATGATATGTCAAATACAAGAATTATTGTTATTAGATCTTCTAAACCATTAGATCTAATTTGCAGTATTTCTTAACAGGATTCCTTAAATAATGAATCCGCGTTGCGCAAATGCCATCCCCACGTAGTTTACTTCTGCTCGACGGGAGATCTAACAGGATAAGGAACGCCATTCGGAAATACCGCAAATGAGACCCTAATATTGTGAGGATAAAACAGGATCTTTTATTACTCAGAACCTTGGCAGTTAAAATAAAACAACTCAGAGAGAGTCTGTTTGGTAAATAGGCACTGGCCGAAAGGCACCTCTCTCAGTCTGTGCTGGATTAGGTTACGGATCAGCCAGGTAGTGGGTAGAAAAACGGTCGGTCATTCCTTTTTCTCCTTGGGACCTCCTTCAACAGAGGGCAGACCTGACCCTCAAAACAGCAGCTGGATGGGCACTCGTGTGAGCAACAGAAGACATGTCCTAACGATCTGTCAGAGAAGTCGAAAGGTCGACAGAAAGTACAATGAAACCGTGGGAAACAGCTGTACAGTTGTCGGAAGACATGTGTGACGGAATAAGACCTGCCTTTGCGGCTGCAAAGTATTTCACCTGCGCCTTGTCTTGTTTTTGCGACTTTTCCAAAATTTAAAATAAAAAAAACCATTAAATTTACCCTAAACGGGTCAGAAAAGGCGAGTAATTCACAATTAAATGGTGTTCTCGTCTGAGTCAGGGGTCAATTGGCTGAACTACCTAAGACATTTAAAAAAGAGACAGGGTGGGTGAGTGAGAGAATCTGCCACAGAAACTAGAAGGATTGGAGAGACAGGGTGAGGGTGTGGGAGATGCTTAGCGCAAGCAGGGAATGGGAGACCTTGTGACTTTGGGATTGAGCAAGTGAGCAAGAAAGCCGAGGGAGGGAAAAAAATATTAAGAAGGGAGTGTCTCATGTGAAAGTTGCGACAGAATGGGCAGAATGGGGGCAGGGAAGTGTGAAAGGAAGACCAAACGAAAGACAGAGAGAGAGAGAAGCAGAGCATGAGAGTGTGAATAACACCGTGAGGCTGTGGTGGTGTGGTTCGGAGAAAGAGAGGGGGGGGGGAGGGAGGATGTGAGAGGAACGGGGAGCGTCTGGAGGCTGACGAGATTCGGGCCAGCCGATACAATTTGGGATTCACTGCCAGTGCTAAGCAGTGCTTAGAAAAACATGGCATTTTGAGATTTGGTGGAGTCTTATTAGACAACCAGGCCGAGCCCTCTCTGATAATCCCAGCACAAAACGCACAAGGCTAAATCCCTCGTCCATTTATTGCTCAGCGCTCCTCCCGCCCAGACGTTGCCGCCTTCATATTATTTGCCGGCGACAATTGCTCGCTCGTTGACTGGGATTGGGGTCTCCGTCAAGTCAAGTCAAGTCAAGTCAATAACACAGCATACTGCTCCCTCTCGTGGCCAAACTCTTATCCTCCCCTTTAGTGTGTCCTGTGAAGCGCTTTGAGACGTTTCAACGACGTGATAAGGCGCTGCATCAAATGCAAGTATTATTGTTATTGTTGCCCACCCACCAACCCCCACTCCCTCCCCCCCCCCCCCCCCCCCCCCCCCCACACACACACAGAGTCTACCGCTGTGTGAACGTCTGAGGCAGAACGAGTGGGGCGCAGGCTACCCCAGCGAAGGACTCGGGGAAGTGCAGGTCCCTCTCCCACTCGTCGGCCTCCACGTTGTACACCTGCACGATGCTGGTCACGTTGTTCAGGTGCCAGTTGTAGCCGCCCACCACGTAGATCCTGCCTCCCAGGGCGCAGCACCCGGCCTCCGACTGTCCGGCCCTCATGGGGCAGACACTGGTCCATTGGTCGGTCTCGGGCAGGTAGTACTCGGTGTGCAGGACGTCAAAGCAGCGGTCAGCGTGGTCCATCCGCCCGCCCAGCGAGTAGACCCGGCCCTTGGCACTGGCCATGCAGTGGAGCACCCTGGGCTCGTTCATGGGGCTCTTACATTGCCAGACGTCGTCCCCGGGGAGGTAGCAGTACAGAGCCCGCTTGTCCTCGGCCGTCACCCCGTAGCCCCCCGACAGGTACAGCCTGCCCCCTAGCGGGGTGGAGGCGTGACCCCAGGTGCGCCTGAGCAACGGCCTGACTTGGCTCCACTCGTCCCGACCGGGGCTGTAACACTCGACCGAGGCCAAGCTGCCCGTGCGGTTGCGTCCCCCGGTGGCGTAGAGCCGCCCTTGCACTGCGTCCAACTGGAACTGTATCCGGGCCTCGTTCAGGGGCCGGAGTCGCAGCCACTGGTTGAGGTGAGGGTCGTAGCGGGAGCAGGAGTCCACCGCGCCCTCCCCGCTCCGGTACTGCAGCCTCTGCCCGCCCGTGACGTACACAAAGTTGTCCAGCACGGCCACGCAAACGTGGCTGCAGCTGGTCTCCATGGGCGGAAGCTCCCGGAACTGGCGAGAGGAGGAGGAGGAACAGGAGGAGGTGGTGTCGACAGTCAAGGCGAAGATCCTCCCGCTCACCGCCCGGTCGTTGTCGGTGTACGGCGTCCCGCCGAAGGCCGCAAGCGACACCGTGTCCGAGCGGATGCCGGTGCGCGGCGACTGCAGCTGATGTTGGCGGAACGGGAGGAGCCGGTAGTTGAAGGCCTCGAGGAGGTAGCGACGGCAGGCGCCGTCCTCCACCATCACCGGCACCGACTGCACGCCGTCCACCAGCTCGGCCGGCGACATCAGCGGGAAGCGGATGTGCCCCAGGAGCGGTCCGGCACTGTCCCGCCGCGAGGAGTCGTGCTGCAGCCAGCGCACCGCCGCCCGGAACAGGTTGATCTCCCCGCAGTTCTTGAGCTGGTTGCTGCGCAGGAAGAAGATCAGCCGCTCCAGAGGTAGGTGCAGGAAGTCCTCCTGCTCGGAGATCTGCAGAAAATGGGCGAAGGTGAAGGAGTCCACGGACTCCTTGAGCGAGGCCAGGCTGAAGGTGGTGGCCATCTGCCCGATGTTCAGGCAGGTCTCCACACTCATGGCCGACTTGAGGAACTCCTGGCACAGCTCCACTACCGGCTCCATCTGCAGGAAGACCGCGGCGCCCAGCACGTCCTGGATACAGTCCAGGTCCAACGTCACCTCCGCGCTGTAGGCGAAGTCCACGATGCGCTTCAGGCCCTTGGCAGACAGGCCCTTCAGCTCGATCACGTCCTGGCTCGCTTCCCGCATCCCCCCCGTGAACATCGCGCTACGGAGAGATGACATGGTGAGGAGGAGAGAGAGAGAGAGAGAGAGAAAAAAAAACAATCAAAACAGGCCGAGTGAGGAGGCGATGATATAAAAACAAAAGGCTGGACAAACCCAGGTGTGACCGGCTGCCGCGATTGCCCACAAGTGCACAGTCAGTCACTACACTCGACACAGCCGTGTGTGTCAGCTACATGGTCAGAAGTCCGTCCCGCAGATGAGACATTAAACCGAGGTCTTGTCTGCCTGTTCAGTAAAGATCATGGTGGTATTGTGTCCAAAACAAAATCCCCCAATAAAATTGATCGCTCACTCCATGGAAGTTTGCGGGCTGCCCCTGTGCACAAACTGGCTGGCGCAATTCGCTCACAAAATACACAGTCACTCCACTTTAAAGTATATTGCATGAAGCCCTTTGAGACGGACGTATCGAAGACGTGATAAGATGCTGTATTAAATGCAAGGATTATTATTATTATTATTATGTGAAGCACATTATTGAGCACCGTGTCAAAAACAAGCGAGGATTAATTTTACGTTTAGTTTTTGTTGACCAGCTGGTGATGGTTAAGAATTCAGCCTAGAATGAGGTGGGGGGCGTGGGGAGGGGATGTGGGGAGGTAGGGGGGAGGTGGTGGGAGACCTGATTTCCAGGAGCCATAGTTTGCCAATCGGTAGCACAAGAAGTAAACCTTGAAGCAAAGCAGAGGCGGCTCTAGAGCAGAAAGCGGGCAGCCTGTGCACCCGCTCCCGAGGACAGAGACTCACCGGAAGTAATCACTGCAGGCGGCCAGAGTGGCCTTGTGGACAGGGAAGGGCTCATTGTTGACCATCAGAACGACGTCCAGCAGCTGTCCCTGTGCTCGGAGCGCGGCCAGGCCGCGGAGGAGAGCGGCGCTGTGACCCGGGGCAGAGAACGTGCATCTCAGGCCACCGTTCTTATCAGCCATACTGTGAGGAGACAACACCAACACTGTTAACAGCGTGCGGGCCGGGTCTTCGGGAGGTGGACATTTTACAGAAGCCAGAATGTTCACCTTCTTGGGTCACCTTTTTCCTCACACACCCCAACCCCCTGCCTCACGCCCACCCCCCCCCCCCCACCCCCTCAAAAAAAAAATACCTCCTTGATGTTCTCCACTCCTCTCCTGGCTTACAGCGGTCAATGTTCTCCAGGGTCAGTAATATTTGATTGGGGACAGAAAAAAAAAACTTCCTGTAGCGGTAATAAATAATAATCCTTGAACTAGCACCGTTGAAATGACTCAAGAGAGTATTGGTGAAGTGTAGTGACTGTGTAAATCTGCACGCGACGCGATGCCCTATCCAGCAGCCACGGAGCGGAAGGAAGACCAATTTTGTCCGGAGGATTGTTGATCAGGAAGAGTTTTCTTTTAGGAAGTAAAATTAGGGGATACGGTCGCACACGGTAGTTTGGGGCAATTGTGCGGGCGACCGCCAGGAAGGCGGAAGGCGAACCGGATGGACCTTAGGTGGACCTTGGTCTTTCCTCGTCCAATATTTCCCTATGTTCTTCCGACACTTGGGAGGAACTCCCGTCTCCTTTCCCGAGAGCTTCTTGGCATCGTTTGAGGTTGAGCTAAACCGGCAGAGACGGAGCTCGGGGTCATCCTCGTCTCATCCGAAGTGACGATGAATTTCGTGCCGTAAAACCTCTCCCGAAACCACAAGTCGCCAACCGCCCCCACCCCCCCCCCACCCCCCACCCACCCTCACCCACAGGGACACAACCTGTCACACAACAACCCCCACCCTCCACCCACCCACACACGCACACAGGGACACAATCTGTCACACAACAACCCCCACCCCCCACCCACCCACCCACAGGGACACAACCTGTCACACAACAACCCCCACCCCCCACCCACCCACACACGCACACAGGGACACAATCTGTCACACAACAACCCCCACCCCACTCACCCACCCACCCACACCCACAGGGACACAACCTGTCACACAACAACCCCCACCCCCCACCCCCCCACACACGCACACAGGGACACAACCTGTCACACAACAACCCCCACCCCCCACCCACCCACACACGCACACAGGGACACAACCTGTCACACAACAACCCCCACCCCCACCACCCCCACACACGCACACAGGGACACAACCTGTCACACAACAACCCCCACCCCCACCCACCCACCCACACCCACAGGGACACAACCTGTCACACAACAACCCCCCACCCCCCACACACACACACAGGGATACGACGTGTCACACAACAGTACACCACACAAACCAACCCACCCCTCCCCACAGGGGCACAGCCATCGTCACATAACACCTCCCCACCCCCTCAGGGACACAACCTGTCACACAGCTCGGGCCGGTGGGGGTGGGGGGGGGGGGGTGAGGGTGGTGGTTGTGTGACGGGTTGTGTCCCTGTGGGGGGTTGGGGTGGGGGCGGTGTCCGCTCGCTTCGGGCCTACGCCGCCTCCGAGGCCTCGGTGTAGCCTGGGAGCCGCGGCCGCTCTGGGCGCCGCTGTGGCCGGGACAGCGCGGCCTGTGAGCCCCCGGGGCTGAGCCGCGGCTGGAGCCCGAGCCCCGGGGCCTCCCCCCCCTCCCCCCGGCCCTGCCCCCCGGCCCCGGGTTACCTGCTCCTCGGCCCGGGCCCGGACCCCAACTCCCCGCCGTCAGACTCCGCCATCTTCCTGACACCCGCCCCACCCCCACAGGGACACAGCCCGTCACACCACCCCCACCCCCACAGGGACACAGCCCGTCACACCACCCCCACCCCCACAGGGACACAGCCGTCACACCACCCCCACCCCACCCCCCACAGGGACACAGCCCGTCACACCACCCCCCACCCCCACAGGGACACAGCCCGTCACACCACCCGCCCCACCCCCACAGGGACACAACCTGTCACACCACCCGCCCACCCCCCAGGACACAACCTGTCACACCACCCCCCACCCCCACAGGGACACAGCCTGTCACACCACCCCCCACCCCCACAGGGACACAACCCGTCACACCACCCCACCCCACCCCCACAGGGACACAGCCGTCACACCACCCCCACCCCCACAGGGACACAGCCCGTCACACAACCAACCATCCCCACCCCCCACAGGGACACAGCCTGTCACACCACAACCCCCCACCCCCACAGGGACACAACCGGTCACACCACCCCCACCCCCCACAGGGACACAACCCGTCACACAAACACCATCCCCACCCCCCACAGGGACACAACCCGTCACACAAACACAATCCCCACCCCCCACCGGGACACAATCCGTCACACCACCCCCACCCCCCACAGGGACACAGCCTGTCACACCACAACCCCCCACCCCCACAGGGACACAACCCGTCACACAACCACCACCCCCACAGGGACACAACCCGTCACACAAACACCATCCCCACGCCCCACAGGGACACAGCCTGTCACACCACCCCCACCCCCCACAGGGACACAACCCGTCACACAAACACCATCCCCACCCCCCACAGGGACACAACCCGTCACACCACCCCCCACAGGGTCACAACCCATCACACCACCCCCCCCACCCCCCACAGGGACACAACCCGTCACACAACCACCATCCCCACCCCCACAGGGACACAGCCAGTCACACCTCCATCCCCACCCCCACAGGGACACAGCCTGTCACACAACCAACCAACCCCACCCCCCCCAGGGACACAGCCTGTCACACAACCACCCCCACCCCCGCAGGGACACAACCTGTCACACAATATCCCCACCCCCAGGGGCACAATCTCTCTTACACATTAACACCCCAACCTGTCAAACAACAACCCTCTCTCATACCCCCCACCACGACATGGACACAACCTGCTACACAACAACCCCCCACCCCCCCCCCCCCCCCCCCACCCCCACACACACAGGACGGCACTCTCTCGCCCCTAAACCAGAAGGACATGGATTCAGTCCCCAAGTGTCCAGACTTGGAATCACGTGGTCTAAGCCGGGGCGGTCCAACTGGCGGCCCGCGGGCCGCATCCGGCCCCCGGGCCGATTTCGTCCACTCACACCCTCGCCCTCCCCACTCCCCGCCATCTGTGTCATCTGTCCCACCCGCTCCTTCCTTGACCCGCATCTGACAGGGCAGCCGGCCCTCGGCGGCCAAAAGGGTTGACTGAGCTGGCGTCGCGAGGGGGACGTCAACGTGGGCCGATTGGCTGCCGGGTTTCGCCCACAAAGGTGCGATAAGCCGCTGAAACCAAATGCGAGGGTCGTCATTATTTTGTAAGCGCAGCCGGTCGGGGGTCTCCCGAACCGGAGCCGACTGCCGGGACGAGGGAGGGAGGGAGGGAGGGAAAGAGACCCCCCGACCCTCAACCCAATCGTGTCGGGAGGCGCGCGGGGAGCAGGCTTTGCGTCACGCCGGCCGGAGAAAAAAACATGGGACCGCCCCGGATATTTTTTTTTAACGGGCGGACAGTGAGTTTGCAAGTTAGCAGAACTCCGGAGCTGCCTCACACTGTGACCGGGAGACACGCGGCGGAGAAAAAGGGAAGTGAGCGTTGAGTGTCGCAAACCCTTTCCTGCTTGCTAACCCCCCCCCCCACTTCCCCACGCCCCCCCCCCCCCCCTCCACCACAACCCTCCCCCCCACCTCACCCCCTCCCACCCTCCACTCCTCCTCCCCACCCCCTGCCGCACCCTGTCCATAAAAATCAACTGATCGGTCTTAGTTCGCCCACAGCGTCGCAGCTGATTCCCCGACCAGGGACCGCGGAGAGAGAGAGAGGCAGAGAGAGAGAGACAGAGAGAGACAGAGAGAGGAGCAGTCGGTGGTGAGGTGCCCTCAACGAGCCTCAGGTAAGCGATGGCTCTTCCGACGTCCATAACAACGTAAGAATTCGCTAAGCGGCGGAAGACTGAGGTCCATCTGGTTCGCCTCCGTCCACCGTCCCGGCAGTGCCCCCCCCCACCCCCCTTTCCCCCCCCCACCCCCTTTCCCCCCCCCTCTCCCCAACCTGTACACTCACTGCGGCGTTCCCCGGGATATTATTTCCCAGCGGAAATCTATTCAGTTTCGTCCTTGAAACCAATGACGCCTTTCGCTGCCGCCGAGGGACTCTGTTCCATACGTTCGCTGCCCGCTCACTGAAGTAGCGTTGCCGTAGATTTGTTCTGAATTTAACCACCCCATCCCCATCCCCACCCCCACCCCACCCTCATCCCCACCCCCACCCCCACCCCCCACCCCACTTCAATCGCAGACCGTTTCCTCTCGTTCTACTGTTCAGTGCAAGATAAAACAGCTTAGCGTGTCTTAAGCGTGAACCATTCCCCTTCCGTGAAACCAACTCTTGTTTAAAACCAACTTTTATTTCGAGCGCGCAGAAAGGTCTGAGCCGATGCATTTTGGGGGGGGGGGGGGGAAAGGAAGAGGGGAGACAGAGGGAATATACGTTAAACGGTAATAATAATAATCCTTACATTTTGACATACAGCGCCTTTCACCTCAGGAAGACGTCTCAAAGCGCTTCGCGGGACACACCGTAAAGTGGAGCCGCCGTATTTTTCAGGCAAAAGGCTGCGCTCAGTTTGCGCCCAGCAACGTCCCTCAAACTTACTTAGGGAAGACTGGGGTTTGAACCCATAACAAATACAATTTGTAAGTCATATCAACCTCCCTACGTGTGGGAAGACAACCATGGAAGTCTCCCCAAATCCCAAACCCTTCTCGTCCTGGCTTCAAGACCTTCTTAACGTTGTCTTTTTGAGGTTGGGTCACGGCGGGACATTGCTGTTAGCCCACAAAGCCACACACACCGTCACTCCACTTTACAGTAAAAATCCTACAAAGCGCTTCGAGATGTCCTCCCGACGTGAAAGGTGTTATATCAAAAGTAAGGATTATTAATAATAATACTACTAATAATAAATATCTCTGCGACCGATCCTCCAGTCAGCACCCTCAATCCTTCTTTCCTCTCGCTCTGCTCATTGCTCCCCGTCACCTGCGTGAAGCACTTTGAGATGTTAACCCATGCGAAAGGGGCTGTTTGGGTGACGAGTTGGTCGTTTGAGGTTCTGTCGGTTGAGGTTCTGCTGCCGTTTGCTTTGAGCAAAATGCAGAACTGGTCTGCAAACTGCGTTCGTTAGAGGAGGAAGAGAAGAGGAGACGGGGGGGGGGGGTGAGGGGTGGGGTGGGGTGGTAGAAAAAGAAAGGGAGACAGAGAGAGCGAGCAGAGGAAGTTGGCAAGAGAGATGGTTCTTTTCTCTAGAGGCCTCAAATTCCTCATGGACCCATTTAAAGTCGCCATTAAAGTTGAAGATTGCGCACAAGCGTCCTTAAATTTTAATTGTAGCCTGGAAGCCAACCGGGTGGAATGAGGGTTGTGGTCGAGAAGGGGGGGCAGGACAGTAAGAAAGCATTGAAGAGTTTTTTAAATTATTGGTTATTTATTTATTTATTATTAATCAATTGGCGGATTTCTTTCCTGGGGGTAATAATCCCTCCAAAAGATAAATAAATAATAATTTGATCACTCAATCCACGACTGTTTGTGGGACACTGCTGCCGCGTTTCGCCCACAAAATGGGCCAAGATACAGTCACTCCACTTTACAGTATATCCTTCAAGGCCAATCTCAAGACCCTCCTCGTCAATCGTACCTTCGGTCGCCCTCCCACCTCTCTGCCTTCCCTCACTCTTACCCCACCCCTACCCCATGCTCGGGTCCTGACCCCTGACCGTCCAGCGCCTTGGGACGTCCTCCCGACGTGAAAGGCACTCTATAAATGTAATTTTGTTGTTCTCGCGAAATGCTTTGAGAAGTCTCAACGACATTATAAGGCGCTGTGTCAAATCAAATACAAGGATTATTATTAGTAGCAGTAGTAGTAGTCAGTGATCGAAAGGCTAAGATCAGGTCTCTGTTCGCCACAAACCTTTGGAAACACCCACTTTTTCTGTTCCTTCCGCAGCAATGTGGCCGTTACTGGTCTTGTTCTTTGTGCTGCCTTTGGAGATCACCCCAAGCTTGACATGCAACACAACAGTGACGGTGGACGCGAAAAACATGGTTAAGTGCCCTCTGGAGTGTCTGAACTTTTACGAGACTTTCATGAAAAAAAGAACTTATCTCTCGGCGTCAAACTGTAACATTTCCAAAGTGGTTGCCCTTAGCACCTTCTCGTCCCTGTTGCGTCTGGATCTCTCCAATAACAAAATCAAAGAACTCCCTCAGGACTTTCTCACGCATTTCCCAGCGCTCCAGGACCTCAACTTAGTTGGGAACCCATTGGAGAGTCTTCCCACCATGAGATGCAACATGACCGAAATCAAATATAACTGCTCTTGTGCGCTGGTGAAGGACATGCTGAAGCACTGCCTGAAGACAATCGGCCACGAATTATCTTTCTGTTATAACGGCAGTAATCAGACACTCATCAAAGATTACTCCAAGGCCTCGTGTGGTACTTCTCTGCTGCCGGTCTTCATTGGAGTCCCCCTGGCTCTCATCGCCCTCCTGTTGGGGGTGGGGACATATTTCTTGGTCAGGTTCTACCGTTCCAAACAGGGTTCCGTGCAGACCTCGCCCCCTGGGAATAAGCGTCAGTCTGTCTCCTCCGCCGACCCCGGGCAGCAGCGCTACGTGAGCACGGAGAACTGGAAGGACGGGGCATCGGGGTCAGGGTCAGGGGAAGCGTTCCCCGCTGCTTCCCCCGGGGACTACGAGAACGTGCTGATCGGGGAGATGGGCCCAGTGAGCGGGAAGGAGTTCAGGTAATCAATAAGCCTCACGTCGCCGAAACGGCTCAAAGTGCTTCATGGGTTATTCTGTAAGGTGGAGTGACTGTGTATTTTGTGGGCACAAACGGGGCGGCCAGTGACACACAGCGAGTGTCCCACCATCCGGTGGGCCAAGTGTAGTGACTGTGTATCTGTAGGCGAACCGCAAGGCAGGCCGGTTTGCGCACACCACAAACAGCATGGACTGATTTGACTTTAACGATCCTCGCACTGAGGAACAACAATAATAACAACAAAATTACATTCATAGAGCGCCTTTTACATCAGGAGAACAACCCAAGGCGCTGGACAGTCAGGGAACAGGACCCGAGCATGGGGGAGGGGTTGGGTAGGGGGGAGGAAAGGCAGAGAGAGGTGGGAGGGTGACCGAAGGCACGATCAAAGAAGAGGGTCTTGAAACCGGCCTTAAAGGAGGCGAGGGAGGAAGCGAGGCGAAGTGACCATGGGATGGAGTTCCAGAGCGTAGGGGCAGAGAGGCTGAAAGCCCGGCCACCGATGGTAGGGCGGGTCGGGCGGGAGACATGGCCAGAGCCCGCTGAATGGAGGGAGCGGGCAGGTTGGTAGGGAGTCAGCAGGTCAGAGAGGTAGGATGGCCTCAAATTCGACCCTCTGAGGGATGGGGAGCCTGCAGAGTGGAGGAAGATGGGAACATAGGAAGGGGGAGGAGGCCATTTAGCCCCTCGAGCCTGTTTCGCCATCCCCGTTGTCTCTCTCTCTCTCTCTCTCTCCCCCCATCTGGGTGTTAAACTCCGCCGCGGTTAAGCGCTCCGAGACTCTTTGCCCTGCGTGAAAGGCGCTGTGTGAGGCGTGAGCTGTTGTGGTTTCTCTTTCGACGTGAGGATTGTTCTCCACAGGAGGCAGGTGACTCCCGACGACACCTATTACCTGGAGAGCGATGTTCCGGGCTCGGACATTTACCTGAACGAACAGCCGATTTACCTGAACTACAGCGGACCCTCAGAGACCCCAGAGGATGACGTTTACATCATCCCCGACAAGTAAAAGCAGCGAATGCATGGGTTGGAGGATCGCGGCGACCTTAAAGGGAAGACCCTCACCGATACCATCACCAACCTACTCCGGGCAACGGACTGTGACGGAGGTGACACCGTTGCTCGTGTCCACGAGAAAAAGAGTTCCAGAATTTCAAATGTCAATTAATAATGACAATAATAATCCCTGCATTTGACACAGCGCCTCAAAACGTCTTCGAGACATCTCCAAGAGCTTCACGGAATACACTGTAAAGTGTAGTGACTGTGTACTTTGTTGGTAAGATTGTGTTAGCGTCAGCAACTTGACTCAGATTGTCAGAAGCCATGAAATTAATTCTCTTCAGAATTCTTAAATGCCGCCTTCATTCGGAACACCTTTTCTTTGCAAGAACTGCAGCAACTTCAACAACACGGCGCTCCTTTCACCCCCACCCACCTGAGCTCTCCCCACCCCTCAGTCGGCCGAGACTGTGAGCTCAAAGTTCCCAATTTATTTTAGGTCTCAAAGCCACATCCTTTGAGGGCTTAAGCTGACACCTTAACCACTAGAGGATGGTTTATGTGTGCAACTGGTTGGCCAGGCAGGTGGTTAGGTTAGGGTGATGGGGGGAGAGGTTAACAGAGCTTTCAAGAGGGAACTAGGCCAAGGTCTCTTGTGAAGAGAATTGAGGGACATTAATAAATAATAATAATACTTATCCTTGCATTTGGTACAGTGCCTTTCACATCGAGAGGACATCTCAAAGCGCTTCACAGCATTAAGTATAAAGTGTAGTGACCGTGTGTTTTTGTAGGTGAACGTATATGTAAGATACAGCGAGAAAAACAACAACAACTGGCATTCATTTAGCGCCCCTCGTGCAGGCTCGCGCCTCAGAGCGTGCCTCAGACACTTTCTGTGAAATAATAATAATAATGATATTGTATAAGAATAATGCTTGCATTTGATTCAGTGCCGTTGCCATGTCGTTGAGACGTCTCAACGCGCTTCACAGAATATATTGTAAAGTAAAGTGTAGTGACTGTGTATTTTGTGGGCGTGAAGTGCTTCGGATTTGTGTTTTTTTCCCCTGTATTCTTTTTCAACAAAAAGTTACGCTTTGTATTAAAGTCAAATTTCGGTTACAGTTACTTCGTTGTAAAAGGGTTTTGCAAATAGCACGGTTTGCTTTTGTGTCTTTTTATCGCTTCGAGGTTACTAAAACAGGAAGTTTGCCGTTGCAAAGCAATTCATCCCTCATGAGGCAGAATGAACAGGAACTGTACAGTTATACACACACACACACACACACTGACCCTTACTTGCGGGGGAGTTAAGCTGAGTCTCTTTGTAGCCGGACTTGCTCCAAGGTGACGTGTTTAGCAACGGAATGTCAGAGTCGAGCTGAATCGCCCTCTGTGACGGTCCCTCGTCCGGTTCCTGAGCCAGGAAGGTCCGCGGTAGTCGAGGACACCTCTGATGACTGTACAGCCCAGTCTGGCTCATCCGCAGGCCTTGGATACGGGTACACCTTCGTACCCGTTTCCCCACCCTCTGTCACTGAACTCATCCTATCCCTAAAACCAACCACCTGCTCCCTTGACCCCATCCCCACTCCACTCCTTATCTCCCAGCTCCATTTTCTTGTCCCACACATCACTGACATCATAAACCTGTCCCTCTCCTCTGGCTCTGTCCCCATTCCATTAAAAACTGCCATCATCACGCCCACCCTGAAAAAACCCTCCCTTGATGCGTCGCAGCTATCAAGCTACCGGCCCATCTCCAACCTCCCCTTTCTCTCCAAAGTCTTGGAAAGAGTTGTCGCCTCCCAACTGCGCTCTTTCCTCTCCACCCATTCTCTTTTTGAACCCCTTCAGTCAGGTTTCCGTGCTGCTCATAGCACAGAAACTGCCCTGGTCAAGGTCACCAATGATATCCTGACCATCTGTGACCAGGGCTCCCTCTGTCTCCTCGTCCTCCTCGACCTATCGGCAGCATTCGATACGGTCGACCACACTATCCTACTCCACCGCTTGTCCTCCCACCTCAACCTTCAAGGCACTGTCCTTGAATGGTTTAGGTCGTACCTTTCTCACCGTCTTCACTTCGTCTCAACGAATGGCTTCTCCTCCACCCCCCGTACTGTCTCATGTGGTGTCCCTCAGGGCTCTGTCCTCGGTCCCCTCCTCTTCACCCTCTATATGCTCCCCCTTGGTGACATCATCCGCAAACATGGGGTTAACTTCCACATGTATGCGGATGACACCCAACTCTACCTTTCCTCCTCTACTCTCAACTCCACGACCACCGATGTCCTGACAGCCTGCCTGTCCGACATCGAGTCCTGGACGAGAGACAACTTTCTTCAGCTCAACGTGCAAAAAACCGAGGCCCTCCTGATTGGCTCACGTCAGCGCCTCCGCACCTCAGGCGCTGACACCATCAGCATCCAAGGCTGCACTCTCCACCTCTCAAAGCCAGTCAGGAACCTCGGCGTTTTGTTCGACCCTGAGCTGTCCTTTCTCCCTCACATCCGCACCACAACTGGCACCGCCTTCCATCACCTCCGGAATATCGCCAGATTACGGCACTACCTCACCCCTCACGCTGCTGAAACCCTGGTTCACGCCTTTGTCACCTCAAGGCTGGACTATGGGAACTCTCTCCTCGCCGGCCTTCCCGCCACCTCCCTCCACAAGCTGCAGGTCATTCAGAACTCTGCAGCTCGTGTACTGTCCCGCACCAGGCTTCGGGACCACATCACTCCCACCCTCGCTCGCCTCCACTGGCTCCCCATCCCCCAGAGGATTGATTTCAAGATCCTCATCCTCACCTACAAGGCCATTCACGGCCTTGCTCCCTCCTACCTCTCCAACCTACTATCCCCCTACCTACCTGCCCGTACCCTCCGTTCCTCTGGCTCCGGTCTGCTCCACGTCCCCCGCCCCAACCGCCCTACTATCGGTGGTCGGGCCTTCAGCCTCTCAGCCCCGAGGCTCTGGAACTCCATCCCCCAGTGCCTTCGCCTTGCTTCCTCCCTTTCCTCCTTCAAGGCCGGTCTCAAAACCTTTCTCTTTGACCGTGCCTTCAGCTCCCCTCTCGACTCTCTTCCTCCTCCTCGCTCCCTCCCTTCCCTCCCCTCACCCTGACCATTTCCCCCTCCTCTCTCCCTCCCTTCCCTCCCCTCACCCTGACCATTTCCCCCCTGCTCGGGTCATGACCCAACTGTGCAGCGCCTTGGGACGTCCTCCTGACGTGAAAGGCGCTCTATAAATGGAATCTTGTTGTTGTTGTGTTGTTGTTGTTGGATGGGCAGACCAGTCACCGCGGGCAAGGAATCCTCCCACTCAGCTCCCGTTAACCCTGCAAGTCAAAACCCTTAACGGGTAGGGTGGTCCGAGCGAGACAGACAGCAGGAAAGCTGGCCAGACAGCGGTATCAATGGCAAGCTATGTGGTTTTAGCTGGTTAGATTCCAACAGTTACCCCAACGCACACTCTGGGCTCCCCCCAAGCCTTGGCTCTTGCCAACCTGCGCCTAATACTTTCTGGAATTAGGTAAGCAGGATACGTCCCTCCAGGAAGAGAGAGAGAGAGAGAGAGAAAGAGCATTCCATTCCCACAATCTATCTCTGAGATTTCCATGTGTCAGTTTGGTTTGGAGGTCTCTTAAGCAACAGTGATGGGCTTCCGCATGTGTCAGGACAGTTACGGGGGGAGGGGGTGTGGTGGCGGGGAACGAATAAAAGTTTGGGAAGCAACAATGCAGTCAACAAGTCCCCTTTGTGAGGTTACTGCCTTGAGCCAAACCTTTTGTGTAGGACATTAGCAGACTGTTCTAACACTCACCTTAAAAGTGGAAGTTTTAACAGAGAACTAAACAAGTGTGTCTCCCACAAACTCAGCCACCCACTGAGTTACGCTGAAACATTTCGAACCGTTTCACAGTTAAGCACTGTGTGTGCCTTTATTTGTTCTTCACTGGTGGGCGTAAACCGCCAATTTTCCAAATTAAGAACTCTCTGTCGGTTCTTAAAGTTTAAGACCAAATTTTAGGTCTAACGGTGTCTAAGACAGGGTGGAATTTCACAACTCAAATAATAACCACAACTTAACACAGCGCGCACACACACACACACACGTCTTCAGGCGTCTCTGAGCAAAAATAACTCTAGTGGCCAAAACCCTTTGAGAAAGAGAGAGACAGAGAGAGAAAGGGAGTCTTCGCTGTTGGGCAATGGTACGGAATGACACCAAATTGCCTAAGCGACAGATTCAGGCTAACTCACTCGACAGCCGTTTATGGGAAAGGAAAAGGGGAAGGGGCCAGCCCACCTCAATGTGCGGAGAAACAGACGGAAAGGAAGTTGAGTGAACATCAGAAAGTGAGTGCGAGAGTGCGAGCATCATCCTGCCTTTACTCAGAAACCGTGCGCTGCAATCACGCTTTCCTCTTTCTAAAGCGTGGCATTTATAATGAGAAGAAACTTTTGTTTGCAGAAGCTATTTTTCGGCTTGCATCTCCCTCCGCAAACCCTTCCCTTATCCCACGTTTCCCTTATTCCATGCTCCATCTCCCCTCGAAACCGACCTCTCACCCCAACACAAGCACCAGTCTCCGTCATCTGTCGCTGTCTCTGTAAAGTGTACCGACTGCATTTGCGAAAATAATAATAATAATATTATCCTTCCCTCCGATAGCATTAGCCTAATCGCATCTTCACAGAATATATTGTAAAGTGGATGGACTGTGTGTTTTTGGGTGAAACACGGCAGTCAATTGCTCACAGCAGTGTCCCACAAACAGTCACAGAAGTGACCAATTGTTTTGTAGTTGGAGGGATTGTTAGCCCCGCAAAAGCAATCCATCAATCGACTAACAACCGGGTTCCTACTACTGCGACGTAAACAGAGGTGTGTTGATTAAGGAAACTTGCCTAAGGTTTCGTCCCGCCTGTGAATCGAAGCTGGGTCCTCTCGCTTGTGGGGCGAGAGCTCTAACCACTACACTATGGGATATTTTAATCCCCTGTTCCTAATTCACAACAACGACGACTTGCATTTAGATAGCGCCCCTCGCGCAGGGTAGCGTCCCAAAGCGCAGAAGCTGTGAGTCACAGCCCTCCCCCGGTCTGAGATCAGCCAATTTAGCCCAACCCGGGAATTCAACCCGGGACTTTCCCTGTCAGTGTGGGTAACAGGAAGATGACAAGAATACTGAGTGAGCGAAACGAAATGGTCTGAAGCAGCATTTTTCACCCTCGGTTCCTGGCCCTGACTCTTGTTTCTCGACCAACTACTTATAGCCTGAGGCCCCATAAAGACCCCAAACCCTCGCCTTGAACAGGCAGCGCTGAAGTCACGAGCAAATACACCGGCCAACGAGGGTGAAATAGAGCTGAAACATAATAATAATCCTTGCATTTGAGATGGCGCCTTACCGTGTCTGCGAGACGCCTCAAAGCGCCTCACAGGATTTACCGTAAAGCGCAGTGACTGTGCATTTTTGTGGACGAAAGCGCTTCGCGAGGTTTTACCCTGAATTGCAGTGACTGTGTTTCGCGGGCGAATGTGGCAGCTCATTAGCCCCCATTTGCGCATAGCAACATCCCCGCAACACAGCCACCGCAGAGCGTGAAGTTTCGCCCAGAAAATTTACAGCGGTATCCGGTTGAAGCGCCTTGAAACTTCCAACGACATGGTAAGGCGCTCCTATCAAATGCAACGATTATATATTAATGATGGAAATTCCCAGGTACTGGAATGGAATGCACTCTCTCTCCCTCTCCCCAAGAGGGATGTATTCTGGTTACTGAAACCCGGACTGCGTTAGGCTCGAGCTGCCAACAGCCCAAAGCCTCTCTCTCGCTCTCTTCGTCTATGCCTTCACTTCGCCCCCTCTTTCCCCCTTTTCAGGTCGCGCCCCGATGACCTTCCCCTTCGACCGTGCTTACTGTCACCTCCATCCCTCCCTCGCCCCCTTCCTCCCCCCCACACCCCCCCACCGCCCCCATCCTCGGCCCCGCCGCTGTTAAGCGCTCCGAGACGCCGCGCGAACACAAGTTGTCGTTGTTGTCGTCGTCGTTCCTGGACAACCCTCGCAAACCTTTCCTGTTGTCGTTCCAGCAAATGACCACAGGAGGGCAGCAAAACCACAGGGTGAGACACCAGAGACCATGACCACCCACAAGCTCTGAGGTCCCTGTGACTGGGCTGCGGTCAGCCTGCGCCTAAGGCTCTCCGGAACTGAGTAACCAGTCTGTGTCCCTCTGGGGAGAGGGATAGAGAGTGCCCACACCATTCCAATATCTGGGAATTTCCGTTGACGTGGGCGGGACACACGGACACGGTCGGTCTGGTTTGGACCCTCAGAATAACAATCCTTGCAGTTTGATGCAGAGCCTCATCACGTCGTCGCGACGCCTCAAAGCGCTTCGCGGGATAGATACACTGTGAGCTGCAGTGACCGTGTTTTGTGCGAGAAACGCGCCAGCCAATTGCGCACAGCAGTGAGCGTCCCCACAAACAGCCGTGGATTGACTGACCGAATTACTATTACAATTTTTTTTGGAGGGAGGGATCATTTTTCCGGAAAGCGACCCCCCAGTCGACTAACTTACGTTGATGCGTTTGCGTGTGTTGCGTCCTGATACCCGGCCGACCCTCCCAAAGTATCAATGACACAACGACAACAACTTGCATTTACATATAGCGCTCAGTGTCTTGTCTTAACAGTAGTGGAGCCTGACTCCGAGCCGGGTGGGCTGGGGGGGGGGGATGTGGCCGTAAGCACGGTCAAAGAGGAAGGTCTTCAGGCAGGACTTGAAAAAGGGGGGAGAGAGAGGGGGCGAGGCGGAGGGATTGAGGCAGAGGTGTTCCAGAGTTAAACTAGGGACCAGTGCTCTACTCCAAGGTACTCCTCCACTCACTGTCCCCTTTGATAATATTATAATTGTCAATTCTAGCCTCTTAGAAGGGGCTAAATTGCACCAATTTAGTTGCTTTAAGTAATTGTGGTGCAAACTACCTCCTGACCAGAACCTCGCTCTCTCTCTCCAGGTGTCCCTCGTCAGCTCCAGTTGGCCACCATTTCTGTTTAATCCGGTATTTTTGCTTCTTTTTGTACATCTCGGGCTCCAGGTAAGACTCTGTGTTATTATTATTTTTCGGTTTGAAGTGTTTCTTCTCTGGTGTTGTCCTAACACTGAGGGGAGAGAGCAAAGGCCCAGTCAAAAAAAAAACCTACCTGTTTGACTGGATCTTTGGTCATCAGGAGTCCTGTAGCTCAGTGGTTAGAGCGAACCTTGGGTTCGATTCCCGGGCGGGACAGGGTGAAACGTTGGACAAGTTTCCTTACTCCATGCGTCTCTGTTTCCCAGCAGTAAGTAGGAAGAACCCAGTTGTTAGTCGATTGGCGGATCGCTTTTCTGGCGGGAGTAATCCCTTAAAAAAATAAATCCGCGTTTCGTCTACAAAATGTACAGCCAATTCACTCGACAGCGCTTTGAGACGTCTGGAAGATGCGATAAAGGCGCTGTATCAAATGGAAGGATTATTATTATTATTACCTCCATTTGCCCCATCACCCCCCCTGCTCGGACTCCCCCTCCGTCTCTGTCATGAGGTTTGAGGCGTTTAACTTGGTGACAGGGCGGCTCAAACAACATGTAGTTGTTATTGTTGTTGTTGTAGTAGTTGTTGGTGGGTGTTCCCACTCTCTGCCTGGCTACGGTGCAGATTTCAATGGCCATTGATGTCAGGCTGTGGGTTTGACGTAAGTTACGTGAGGCATAACCTGCTGCCCTTATCTTTCTTCTCCCGATTGCACAGACACACACACACACCTCACGCCTTCAGCCACACCAAGCTGCCATTGATCCGGTACCTTTTATCATCACATCAAAGAAATGCCTCGAATGGCTGTAAAGAAAGGGATTGCGTTCTTTGACAGTGTCATCACCTCAGCGCTCACCTGATGAGGGCAGGTGTTAGTCACCTCCTGATGCTGTTCCTAAACACAAAGGAGTCTCTCACTGTGTCTCTGGCCAGACAAAGTGGTCACTGACTTCCAATTTGGTCGCTCAATCCACGACTGTTTGTGGGGACGCTGCCGTGCGCAATTGTCTGCTGCGTTTCGCCCACAAAACGTACAGTCAATTCACTTTACAATGTGAAGCGCTTTGAGACGTCTCGAAGACGTCTACATCAAATGCGAGGAGTACTATTAATAACATCCACCGTCGCATTTCACGCCGTGCCATTAAAGTCACGATGTCTCAAAGGTAATCGCTGTAAAGTGCAGTGACTGTGCATTTTGCAGGCAAACACGGCAGCCGATTTGCGCCCAGCTTTATCCACGCATACACACAGGCAACACCGCACAGCCATCAAGCGAATGACCTATCGAGTGTGTGCTTGATTGTACGTTCGTGTGTGAGTCTGTGCGTGCATGCGCGAAGGTGTGTGCGAGTGCGTGCGTGTGTGTGCGCGTGCGTGAGTGCGTGTACGTGCGTGTGTGTGTGCGTGGGGCGAAGGAGGGGATTGTTGACCAAGACACCGGGAGAAACTCCTTCTTAATCCAAATCATGTTGCAGGATGTTTCAAGTCCACCTGATCGGGTACAGAGATGGAAAGCTCAAGTCTCCAGCACTTCCCCCCCACCTCCCCAACCTCCTCTCACTCCCCCCCAGCATTGGAGTGAGCCAGCCGAGGCTGTGACCCCCACCCCCCACACCCCCCTCCACCTCCCCCATACATTGAGGGTGGGGCGTGTGGAGGTGCTCACTGTTAATATCAGACCATATAGAGGTGTCACTGTTAATATCAGACTATATGGAGGTGTTCACTGTTAATATCAGACTATATAGGGGTTCTCACTGTTAATATCAGACTATATAGAGGTTCTCACTGTTAATATCAGACTATATAGAGGTTCTCACTGTTAATATCAGACTATATAGAGGTGCTCACTGTTAATATCAGACTATATAGAGGTTCTCACTGTTAATATCAGACTATATAGAGGTGTCACTGTTAGTATCTGACTATATCACTGCCAAACATTTTCATTCTGTGATAAGATAATAACATATAGAGTAATTTTTTCATTTATTTAAATCTAAAATCGTACAAAAATCTGTTGAGAGACATGGCATAAATTTACACTGTTCCGGCGCTGGGGACGTTTTGGTGTGTGTGTGTGTGGGGGGGCGGAGGATGGTTATAGGGGTGGGGGGCTGTCTGTGTGTGTGTGTGTGTTTTTGGTGGGGGAGCACAGTCCGATGGTCAAATAAATTAAATATCATAAATAAAACTGACAAAATAAATAGCATTTTTCCTGCTCAATAAATAAATCTGCACAGCATCAAACTCAGCACCGATATTGCACACAGAGAAAGACAGATAGACAGAGAGAGACAGAGATAAACAGAGCCACAGACAGACAGACAGACAGACAGACAGAGCAGCACGAGGCAATGCAGACCAATTGTCCCTTTACCTGATCAACTGGGGTTATGATTGTCATAGACAGGAAACTCTTCCCGACTCCGGATTTGTGTCCAAGGGGGGAACGAGCGGTGGTGGGGTGGGGGGGGGGGGCGACAGGGCGGGGAGGGGCGGGGGTGGGGGTTCGGGAGGTGGAGGTAGATTAATTGAGTCTCAGGAGCAGTGGCACTGAGTGACGATCATGCCTTCGAAGGCAGTGAGTGTCAGCCTGCCCTCGCTGCTGTAGTGGAGGAGAGTCATCGGCTCGTAAGACGCGGGGGTACAGCACAGGCCGGGGCTCGAGCCCCCCGACAGCCTGTGGAGCGAGGACTTGATCATGGCGTGCATGTTGGCCGCCTTGTACTTGTCGGGGCAGGAGCCCCCGCAGTTGTACATGTTGTAGCTCTCGGGAGCTCGAATCCAATCCGTCCACCCGATCTCCTTGAACGAGACCTGGAGCGATTTCCGACAGCAGGTGCGCTGTCTCCTCTGACAGTCCTCGCCGCTCGCCTCGGCCTCCCGGCGTTCCCGGCGTTCCCGACACCCCCGGCTCCCTGCCTTTCCCTCCGTCTCCGTCTCCACCTCCAACGTCAGTTCTCCGGCCCCCAGGGCGGGGATGGGAAGGGAATTGGGTGAAGCCTCTTCTCCCAAGCGGAATTTCAAGTCCAGTCGGAAGTGACGTTCCGGGCTGAGCTCCCAGCGTCTGGCCAGGCTGGTCACGTCCGCGAATAGAGTCCCGTCAGCTCCCATTGCCGCGGTGATCACCAGGCGCCTTCCTCCTCCTCCTCCTCTTCCTCCTCCTCCACCTCCTCCTCCTCTCCCTCCTCTCCCTCTCGGCCCCCGGACCTGCTCCGGCCCAGAGTAGACCTCCACGAGGAAGGGGGAGCTCCCATTCGTGCCCCCCAGCCACGAACGCCCAACACCGGGAAGTCGCAGAGAGGCTCTGGTCACCCGCCGGTCTCGACCGTCCGTCTGGGACCTGGTGAAAATGGCCGTCAGCCGCCCACCCGCTAACTTCCCACCGGCCGCCTGTACTGTGAGGACAAGACAAGGAACCGTTTATACAACAACTTAATTAACAACAACAACAGGAACAACAGTCCTTTGCACAGAGCCCTCCTTCACCCTGGACGATGTCTCAGACACTTAATCATTGCGCCTTGGGACGTCCTCCCGACGCGAAAGGCGCCGTACAAATGTAATCTTGTCGTTGTCGTTGTCGTTGTTGTTATAATCATAACAATAGTATTTTAATCTTTAATAAGTTTATATGAGGTGATGTCCAGGACTTATTATCATAATAATAATGATAATAATCCTGGAGTTTGTTACAGCGCCTTATCACGTCAAAGCGCTCCGCAGGATGCAGGGTAACGTGTAGTGACTGTGCATTCTGTGGGTGAAATGTCTGGCGGCTGAGGCCGGATGGAATTCGGGGCCTCTGAACTCGGCTCTGTGTTGTGTGGGGGGTGGGGGGGGTGGTTTGTACTTTTAAGTATCTCTCGAGGCTCCCGCTCGCTCCCTCTGTCAAACCGTCAGCCGTCTGTACAGAACACGTTTCACATACATTCCACAGATCTCTCGTCAGGTCAGGACCTGCCCTCGTTTATTCTCTCTTCATCTCACCGCAGCCTCGGATCGCTCACACCTTCTCTCTTTCTCTCCCTCTTTCTCTCCCTCACTTCCTCATTCACTCACTCTCTCTCTCACTCTTTCTTTCTTTCTCTCACCCGGTCACTCGCCCTCCGACTCTCACTGTCTCTTGTCACTCTGATGTCAAATGACCGTCAAGTAGTGACTGCTGAACTGGTTCCGAGGTAACATGTTTGGCAACGGACTGCCGGCCTTCTGTGACGGTCTCCAGTCCGGTTCCTGAGCCCGGGAGGTCCGCACAGCCCGTCCTGGCTCATAGGTAGGACCTGGAAGGGCCGACCAGTCACTGGGGGCAGGAAATCCTCCCCGTCAGATCCTGTTAACCCCACAGCCAAAGCCCTAACCAACAGGGAGGGTCCTCGCTGAACAAGCAGCAGGAAAGCTTGGCCAGACAGTGATATCGATGGCCATGATGCGTGTGGGTTTAGACTGGTTAGACTCCAGCAGTTACCCCAACGCACACTCTGGACTCCCCCCAAAGCTTTGGCTCTTGCCAACCTGTGCCTAATATTCTCCGGAATTAGGTAAACAGGGGGTGTGCCTCCAGGAAGAGAGAGAGAGAGAGATAGAGAGTGAGCATTCCATTCCAGACACAGGAAAATTTCCATGTGGAGATGGCAGATATATGTAGACTGGTTTGGTTACTCAAAGCATCTCTCTGACCGCAAAAAAATCTCTCTCTCTTACTGTCTGACTCTTTCCCCGTTTCTCTGACTGCTCCTCTTTATCTCTCTCTCTTTGACTCTCTTTCTAACTGTTTCTCACTCTGACTTTCTCTTCTTTCCCCTTTCTCTGTCTTGCACCCTTTCAGTCCCTCTCTCTCTTTCTCTCTCTTTCAGCCTATTCCTCTCTCTCTCTCTCGGCTTAAATAAAACGCCAGCCTTCTGTTTATGAAACTGACTGACTTGGAAGGAACGTCATTGACTTTAAAAAATAGTTTACGTTGAAAAAAGTAAAAGCACCAGAAAGGAGCTGAACTGTGGTTAGTGCCTCAGACATAAATAGAGCAGAAGCCGTGAGGTGAGAAAGCAAACAGTGTCTCTCAGTGTCATTAGGGCCTGAACAAGGAAATATGAGCACTCGCCTCGCAAGCGAGAGGACCTGGGTTTGATTGCTGGGCAGGGCCAAAAGTTGGGTAAGTTTCCTTACCCCACACACCCGCCTCTGTTCTTCTCGCAGTGAGTAGGAACCCGGATCGCTTTTCCGGGGGGGTGATAATGCCTTAAACATTTTTATTAATAAATAATAATGGTCACTCAATCAACGACTGTTTGTGGGGACGCTGCTGTGCGTTTCGTCCGCAATTACACAGTCAATTCACTTTACAGCATATCCTGTGAAGCGCTTTGAGACGTCTCGAAGACGTGATAAGGCGCCGGATGAAAGGCAAGGATTATTATTATTAATTGTTAGCAAGCTGAAGGTGCTTAAAACTCACAGCCCCTGCAGTTAGGAGAGTTGTTTTGTGGGGAGTTTTGTACCAGGATTTGGAATCTTCTGTGACGTTGAGATAGGTTTCTATTAGGAAATAATATCTGGGGATACAATACAGTATAGAGTTTGGAATCCCACATGTCAAGCGGCTGCCAGGAACGGTGGAAGGCAAACACTAGATGGACCTTAGTTTTCTTTCGCCAGCAAATTCTTATGCTCTTGTGCACCCAACCAGGCGGGTCTCACATGGAACGACTCTCATGGATATGAGGATTATAATCAGTGTATTATCAGGGTGGCAACATCTCTGGATTGATTGACGAACAGTTAGATGGATTGGTTGGTTGATTGATTGATTGATTGATTGATTGATTGATTGATTAGCTGCAATGTTCCTTTCCACGCTCGGTTCGTTTTTGTTCACACGGCTGTCACCAGCCCTGAAACTCTTGGTAAACAAATTATTCTCCATCCTTCAGTCACTCATTATACATTATACTGCCCTGAGCAGTAAGTAATTTATTGCACACACACACACCCCCTTGCACACCCCCTAATCCACCCTTTCACACCCCACCCTTACACGCACCCCCTTACACAAACCACCTTACACACTCTCACACTCACCCCCTCACACACACATACCCTTTCACACCTCACCCTTACACGCACCCCCTTACACGCACCCCCTTACACACCCTCACACACACACACACCCTCTCACAGGGGGTAGGGGTAGGAGGAACCCAGTGCTGAAACCAAGTGACACTTACAAACTCCTGTTGTGGAATTCTGAATCGAAAATGTCACCAGTAACTCATCTTCTTAATCACCGCACTCCCACCCCAACCCCCGGGGGGAGAGGGACACACATACACAGGCACACACGGACAGACAGATACACAGACTCACTTACAGAGAGAGACACACACACATATATGTGTGTATATATATATATCTAAGAGAGAGACCCACACAGAGAGAGTGGGTGGGAGACTCTCTAAGTTAATGACAGGCTGCAGTGTTGCCGGAGGCTCATTCCCTGGAATCGGCTTATTCCCTGGATATTCCCTTATTCTCCGCAACGTACTGCGCGCGCTCTCTCGCTCTCTGACTCTCGCTCTCCTCTCCCCTCTCGCCCTCTCACTCTCTCGCTAACACTGACACAACCCTGTCACTTCCACTCGGCACGGCCTGGTGACCAGCGTTCCCAACCTGACAGCCCCTGGGAACACGGAGCCGGGGGAGAGGGGAGGGAGGGGAGGGAGAGCGGAGGTGGGGGAAAAGGGAGAGAGGGAGAGTGAGGGCTGGGAGTTCATGGCTAATTAAAAGTCACATTCAGTAACGGGAAGAGAACCTGGGGTTGGTGACCGAGGCGGGGGGCAGTCACTCGCTGGATGTCAGTGTGAATCCCTATTAGTGACTCGCTCCGGTTTGACTTAAAGCAGTTCCCGAGACAGCATCGCGATACAGTGAGGATAATTCCCTCCATCCTCGCTCCCCTTCACCCCCCCCCCCCCCCCCCCCCCACAGCACCTCGGGACATCCTTCTGACATGAAAGGCGCTATACAAATGTAATGTGTTGTTGTTGTCAAAACAACCATCATCAACAAGTAGCTCCCCCACCCCACCCAGTGTCAGCCTCGACTGTCAGCTCAAAGTTCCCCGATGTGTGTGTGTGTATGTTGGGGGGGAACGAGGTTTGAACACACGACCCCAGAGATAAGAGTGCGAGGGGTTGAGCCAGGCTGACACCCGAGCCAGGACCCACGGACAGAATTCTTTTACAGACTTTCACAGTCCCCATCCCGTCCCCATATGTTGGGGGGTGGGGATGTGGGGGACAATTTACTCCCTTGTCTCAGGTACGGAGAAATCATGGGATAGAATGAGGCACGTTTTAAATCCTCACATGATTCCGGATCCAATCAAAAACCCTCCCGAGATGTTTACATCAGTGTGTGTGTTGTGTGTGTCTGCGGTTGTTGTGTGTGTCTGCGGTTGTTGTGTGTGTGTGTGTGCGCGTGGTGTGTGTCTGTGTGTGTATATGTGAGAGGACCCGGGGGGGGGGGTGAAACCTTATGCAAGTTTTCTTAACTCACGCGCACACCCCTGTTTACCTAACAGTAAACAGGAACCCGGTTGTCAGTCGATTGATTAATTAGCGGATTGCTTTCCGATGTGATAAAACAACGTAATCAATTAATCAATCAATCAATCAATCAATCAATCAATCAATCAATCAATCAATCCACGACTGTTTGTGAGACACTACGGTGTGCAATTGGCTGCTGCATTTCACCCACAGTCACTCCACTTGACAGCGTATCCTGCGAAGCGCTTTGCGACGTCTCAAATCAACCACGTGATAAGGCGCTGCGATAAAATACCAGGATTATTATTATTACTCCAAGGGCTGGTGGGACACGGGGATAGTTGGAAGCCCTCCCGGGTTGCCCCGCTCGCACCCCCACCCTCATCGCGCTCTCCGCTGACAACACGGACCCACCGTACTGGAGTCCTGTAGCTCAGTGGTTAGAGCACTCGCTTTGCAATTCCAGACAGAGGGCGAAACCTTGGGCAAGTTTCCTTACTCCACACACCTAATAATAATCCCTCCAAAAAAAACCAGTAATAAATTGGTCATTTTCAATCCACGACT